TTATTATTGTATCAGTGAAATTGAAAGACGATTAAAGTATTTAGAAATCCTTCCATCCATTTTCATCCTGTTATCCAGGGTCTGGTCTCGGGAGCAGCAGACTGAGCAAAACACCCCAGACGTCCCTCTCCTCAGCTCCTTCCTCCAGCTCCTCCTGGAGGACCCCGAGGTGTTCCCAGACCAGATGAGATCTATAATACCTCCAGTGTGTTCTGGGTCTGCCCCGGGGCCTCCTACCAGCTGGACCAGGAGGATCCTGATCAGATGTTGAACCACCTCAACATGAAGGAGCAGCGGCTCTACTCCGAGCTCCCTCCAGATGTCTGACTCCTCCCCCTATCTCTAAGGCTGAGCCCAGACACCCTACAGAGGAAACTCATTTCAGACGCTTGTATCTGTGACCTCATTCTTTCAGTCACTACCCAGAGCTCATGACCATAGGTGAGGGTTGGGACGCAGATGGACCAGGAAATGGAAAGCTTTGCCTTCTGGCTCAGCTCCTTCTTGACTACAACGGACCGACAAACCACCGATTCATCCCACGCTTCATTCTACCCTCACTGTGAACAAGACCCTGAGGTACTTGAACTCCCTCTCTTGGGGCAGTAACTCTCTCCCAACCCAGAGGGATCAATCCATCGTTCTCCAGCAGAGAACCATGACCTCAGACTGGGAGGAGCTGACTCTGCACACGCCCCAGGTCATGCTGGAGGTCACGGTGTGATGAAGCCATATTTAAAAAAGCAGATCTACTGGTGATGTTTAAATAAATACAAAAGTAAAGATTCGTGGTGAAGTCACTGACAGGAGTTGAATGAATTCTTTTAGCTTTGATAAACACTTCATTACATTAATAATGAGCAAGATCCTGAACCCCAAAGTGCTCCTGACAGCTGCCCATCAGTGTGTGTTAAACTGAGGAGCAGGTGGCTCCAAGTATGGCAGCCTCGACCACCGGTGTGTGAACGGGTGAATGTGACTCGTAGTGGTTTGAGTGGTTGGAAGCCATGAATGGGTTCAAGTTTGGATTGTAGTGTTATTTAATCAGTGAGCTCATCTGGAGCTTTAAAAGCTTCTTGTCTCTTAAAAGATTTTATTTTTTGTAACAACAAATTTGGCTTCTCTGCCAACTTCTCTCTCCCACCCGTGTGTTGGTTCATGAATCATCATCGTCCTGCACCTCCTGAAGTCATGTCCACATACTTTGTAGTTTTAAAGTAAAGTAACGTCGTTCAAACGGGCGTCTTCCTCTGCCGTCCCCTACATTACAAACCTGTTGTTGTTTAGTGTTGAAACGTCTTTGAGAAGCTCCGCCCTGAAAGCATTCAGTCAGAAATGATAGTAAAGTTTCTGAAAGCTTCTCCGTCTGGCACTTAGTGCGATCAGCCCGACGCCAACAACACACAGAGGAAGAGAAGAAGAAAACGACACGATTAGAGATGGACACCAATAAAAATGTCAGCTGAAGGTTCAGAGGACAAAAGTGTGTAGAGAAATGACAGGAGGATGAGAGACGGAAAACTCAAAGAAAAGTCATGACTGATGAGGTTCAGTGTTGAAACGTGACGACTTCCTGTCACTCCATGTATCAGCATGTCAAACATGAGGATTAACGAGGTTTCCTCTCTGATCACTGACGAGCTCTTTAATGACACAAACAGACTGCAGCTCCTCGACCTCTTCTTCTGCTCTCACTGAATGAAGTGTCTGATCGATCAGGACGCTCACAGACAGGAAACACTAACTGACTGATCAATACCTGACGATTGTGTCAGCGCCGCCTGAAGACTCCCCCGACACCAAGAGCTCACACCTGAGTTATTACATCACACCTGAACACCATGACATCATCACGTCACACCTGAACACCATAAAGGGTTTTTTGGGGAGTTTTTCCTGATCAGCTGTGAGGGTCATAAGGACAGAGGGATGTCGTATGCTGTAAAGCCCTGTGAGGCAAATTGTGATTTGTGATATTGGGCTTTATAAATAAAATTGATTGATTGATTGACATCATCACGTCACACCTGAACACCATGACATCATCACGTCACACCTGAAAGTGTTGACTGAACTTTTGTTAAATGTCATTCAAACCAAAGAGGAAGTGACGTTTCTGAGCACAAACACAGAAATGAAACCTGAGGGTCGTTGATGTGACATCACTGTTTGTTTTTCCAGCTGCATTTTAAAAGTCTATTTTTCTGTTCGAGGGAATATTTGAGATCATCTGAAGACGGAGGCTCTTCACAGTAGAAAGGAACAAACTGAGGTTTGTATAAATGAGCTGCAGTGATGTGTTGTCACTGTGAGTGAAGTTGTTGGACGGTGTGTGTTGTGAGGACATCAGACTGTCAGGAGCTGCTCTGTATGTCTGACAGATCGCACTCAGCTCATTAATATTCTCCTGACGACACACACTGGGATCATTCAGCCTGCAAACACACACATACACACAGAGCAGAGCACAACAACCTCACAACATTCACACTTCTCTTAAAGACACACTGCAGCTCCGTCCTCAGTTTCATCAGGTCAGACTGGGAACTACAACTACACAGAGTCATCATCATCATCATCATCATCATCATCACACTGATGCTGGTTACATACAGCTGGTGTTACTGCTGCTACACAATAATGTACACTACACTGTGCATCACTACAGTGTAACGTTTAGCTTTGCAAAAAAAAAAGAAGCATCATCTACTTCTGTCTTTAGAGAATATCAACTTTTTTAAATGTTTGATGTGAAGACAAACCAGACTGTATACACCCTTTAACTGTTAGTAAACAGTGTGATGTTTGTTGGTGGGCGGGGCTTAGCTGGAGGCAAAACAGTTCTCCACAGACATTAGCTAGCGCTAGCTAACAAGTTGTGTTGTCTTGTTTTAGACGATGGAGGAAGATGATGTGAGTGGTGAGTTCAGAAACACTCATTGTGAGTGTGGGAGCGCACTCTGACACAAACTGGAGCGTTGATAAATTGGGAGCGCTGTCTGAATGTAGCGTTGGGTTATCCAGAGCAGCGCACTCTCAGAGTGGCAGAGCGCACTCTGGACACTCTGTCTGTGGAGACGGAGCAGCAGAGCGCCGAGCGGAGTGAATGTGTGATTAACTTAACCGTTGGTTCATTCATGTAGAAATATAACGCTGCGTTTCTTCCACCAACAGGGCTCTCATTTTAGTGTAGAGCGTCAGACTGAATTTACCAACGCACCATGTCAGGTCACTCACTCTCCGGGACCGCCAGTGTTACTGGAATAAGTAAACACTGACCAACGGGACCAGACTGGCCGACCCGTATGCTCTCACTCAGTGGATGGATGATGTCACAGGAAGCCAATCTTACAAAGGAGGACCACACTTGTTTGTTTTGCTATGGAAGCTAACGTTAGCTAATGTGCTAAAAAGTTAGCGTTGCAGAGAAATCCAATCTTCCTCTTAATCCCTCCCCAGTTTCTGATGAGGTGGACATGATAACCCTTAATACACATAACCTTATTCATCCCTACAACAGGAAATACTTTTTCCCTAACCTGATATGAAGTGTGCGCTGCACATGTGAGCATTTTTGATGATGGCCTCCGTCCAGTCCTTTGGTCTTATCACATTTAACCATAGTTGTCTTTGTTTTTGTTGACGGGCAGTGGCGGCTGGTTTTGAGCCATGACTCCTTCTATTCTGGCTCCCAATAACACAACAAGACAAACACATTTTAACACTCCTATGTAGCCTACAGTCCTGTGGGGGAGAGGCAGCTGCTCCTCCAGCTGATAATATGATGTCATCGTGACATCACGGTGGCGTCGGCCCTAGAAGGATCTGTTCATGCGTAACTATGTTCATCTCAGTTTTCCAGAACTAAAGTCTTCCTCAGAAATTCACTCATCTTCCACAAGACGCTCTGAGGGCTTTTATCTTCAGCATTAATCAATATTCACTGACATACAGCGGAGCATCTCTGTGGAACAACCTGCTTCCATCTCTACAATCATCATCAACATTATTAAGACTCTTAACACGTCATTGTTGTAAATTGTACATCTCTAATAATTTTGTGTCAAATCTTAGTCTGGAACTTTATTTCAATTCTGAAATCTACATTTTTATTTTCTTCTCTTTATCAATGATTGTAATTATTTAACAGAGGAGGAATCTTCATGAGACATATTTTAACTTTTAATTTCTTTTTCCTGTATTTTCTGCACACGCATTTGCAAATAAACTGAACTGAACTCTATTTATTATGGTTTTATATTAACTCAACATGCATAGGATTTTGCAAACAATCTCTTGAGGCAGTTACGGGGGAAATACCACATTTGCACCACGTGTATGGTGAGGTAACGTGAGGTCATGATGTGATGACAGTGAAGACAGAAGCTTTAACTTTCTGCTGAAAGAAGAACGAACGCTGGAGCTCTTATGGTTTTTATTTTAGATCGATAAAAACAAGATCACGAAAACACCGATCTCCCACTGCCATCTGCTGTAGGTCCATTACACAGGGTAAATATAAAATTAGATATCAAAATAAAGACAGTTTTGTCCCCTTTGTGTTTCCGTAAACTCAGAGACGCTTTACTGACTCTGAACTCTGCAGGGTCTCCGTGGAGACCAGGACCAGGACTGATCTGGATCTCTGTGTCATTATTAAACTTCGATACAAAAAACCAAACACACGGTCCAAAGTAAAGCAAGTGATGATTAGTAATGTGATTACTTTCCCTAAAGAGTAACTGATTACACTTCTGTGTCTCTGTATTTCCTGTCCGTCTGTCCTGTCAAAATAAAGGCCCAGAAAAAAAGGAATAACCTTTAGAAAGAGAAGAGCCTCGGCTCACACAGACGTCACAGCGCTGGAGGTTCTGACAGAACGTTATGTAATGTTACAACAACACAGTGTGTGGTTCTCCTGCCAGGACACACACACACACACACACACACACACAAGGATTCTGTGAGGATGTGAAGGAGCCACAAACATTAAATCTTACCTGGTTCCTTTATCTCCCATCCTGACGACGCCGACGAGCCGACAGCAGCCGGACGGAGAGATGATGATGGAGGAGCAGGAGGAGGAGGAGGAGGAGGAGGAGGAGGAGGAGGAGGACGAGGAGGGTAGAAGGATGCCGTCACCGTGGAAACTGAGGGTAGGATGTCTCTCTCTCTCTCTCTCTCTATGTCTCTCAGGAAGTCGCCGTCATGCCGTCAGATTCTCCTCAGCGGGAGGAAAAAACACCATCTGAGCTCTGACTGAATTCACTACTCTGCTCCTGCTCCTCCTCCTCCTGCTCCTCCCTCTCTGTCAGACTCATGGACAGTGAAATGTGTTAAAACATAAAAACAGCTGGAGGACAGATTTTATTTCTGTCGGTGACATTAACACCAGCCGGACTGTGACCTCCTCCATTCTTCAGTCACACAGAAACATTCAGTCACATCACAGCTGTGAACTTCACAGAGTCAAACTGCGTCACAGAGACAAACACAGCGTCTGTACGGAGGCTCAACTGTGCCAAAGTTTCAGTCTTTAATTAAAACTTTATTTATTCAGGCATCACAACAACAAGGCATCTGTCCAAGAGAGGAGATGTTAAAGCTCCAGTGTGTCGCATTTAACATGAATATAATCATTGTTTCCTTTAACAAGCTGAAAATAAGGAGCCGTTTACATTAGCACCCCCGACTGAGACTGTCCTTCATCAGGGTCCATCAGTGGACCAGCAGTCCTCATCAGGAGGAAACCCACGCTGACACAGGGAGAACATGTCAGAGCACCTGGAGGAAACCCACGCTGACACAGGGAGAACATGTCAGAGCACCTGGAGGAAACCTACGCTGACACAGGGAGAACATGTAAACTCCACACAGAAGGGCTTCCTCCTGGGATCGAACCAGCAACCCTCTTGCTTACGAAAATGGATGATGAACAAACTGACAACAGACAGCTCTGTCATCAAGTTACTGAACTAACAGTACTTGGTGATCAGCTGATCAGAGTAAAGACACACAGCAGAGTTCAGTAAAAACACCATCAGCAGTTTGAGAGGCGGTGAGAGTGATGTCACCCTGCTGACAGATCAGTAAACGCTTCAGTAGTCTCGCTCACCAGACCTTTCTCAAGAAAAAAAAACGCCCCGGCTGCTTGTACCTCTTTCAACCAATCACAATCGTTCTGGGCGGTGCCACAGCAACGGTGCGCTTCCAAAAATATTGCCGGGGGGAAACAGGTTTTGGTGTAACACGCCCACAAAAATATCACCTACAGGACGCGAACCATGGCAGAAAAATGGCTACATCCCTGCAAGATCAAACACCGCAAAAGTTAGTAAAGGACGTGTTGAAAACTGCTACACAACCGGAGGTGGTAGGGCGGGACTTCAGCAGGTGGCTCGTTCCACCCAATGAGAGGCTGATCTATGCAGCGAACTTCCGCCCACTCAGACTAACGCTTCAGTGTCACGTTCTAACTAAAAGAAGTTTTGATTTTGATTTAGGATGAAGATGGCGGCGGGGCTCAAAGTCTCAGCAGCTCTCTGCGTTGACACCTGATCAGACGCTGCACTCCTGATCTGGTTGTATGTTCTTTGTACGATGACAATAAAGGCTTTCTGATTCTAATTTTCAGCTTTAAATGAAGGACTCGTCGTGGTGGTCAGAGGTGACCTGGTTCTGGCTGTCATGGTAACTTCAACCCTCTGGTCCAGTATACGTGACAGACTGGTGGATCCTGTGGGGACTGGGCTCAGTGGGAGCTAACGGTCTGAATCATGATGCACAGATCATTCAGCCCCTCGCTGTACATCACAGAGACGTACTGTAAAACAAAACCGTTCTGCTGCAACAAAAGAGGATGTTTCCAGTCCAGCGGGCGCTTTCAGGGTCCTAATGAGAGGGGCGGAGTCACAGCAGGAAACTGAGTCAAACTGTCACCAATAAGACGGCTCACATGTTAAACGCCTCTTCACAGGGAGGACCCGGGGGCCGATGGAGAGCTTCAACAGGTCCTGGAGAAGGTCCTGAGAGTCCCTCAAGAGCTTTAGAGGATGTCTAAGAAGCTGTAGGGGATACTATGACCAACTCAGGAAATAGAAATACACAAACACAAAGCTCCATGTCAGGTTCACTGAACCACTCAAAGTCCAGGTGAGGCTGAATGTGAGACAGAGTCCATGTCGCTCCACCTGTAATTAAAATCTCTTCTGTTTCCTGCCAACTCAAACAAACCGTACCTGATAAAGAATAAAATAATAAAGAGTAAACATGGGCGGAGTTAGTTAATGTCTTACTCAGAGAGATGAATGTGGGTCAATGATCAGATCAGCCTGATATGTTTCTGAGGAAACTGGATCACTCACCACAGGAACATCAAACCAGTCACGTCTTCAATAAAGTTCATCCGAGGGTCACCTGGCTCAGGTCGGCGCGCTGTAAACATCTTCAGACCGGGTGTTGTATGCAGGGCTGAGTATCACCACTGATTCCCTGAATTGATTTGATTTTGATTCACAACGTCCTGATTAAATTCAGTATTGATTCGATTGGGGATATTTCAGTTACAATACACATTTTGTATTGCATTTTTCAAGCAGCAACAGAATATTAAAAGAGCAAAGTCACAAAATAAACTCAGTAATATCTGACTGGAAACAAATCTAAACTATCAATAAAATAAATCATATTCCTGACGTCACAATACTGAGTGAAGTTTAGAAAGAATAAAGAACACAGACATCATCATCAGTCCTGCTGCTGAGGAGACTCACTGCCTGCAGGTCACATGACCACAGGTCACATGACCACAGGTAAGTTTTAAGATACGAGACAAACCGTCAGACATAAACAGGCGTTGTTATTTCAGCTTGCTATCAGCTGTAAAGCCTCTGTGCTTGTTTATAACATAATATGATCGGCGGTCCTTTCCTACATGTTAACACGTAGTTGATCAGGTGTATTGATAAAGTATTGACTTTATTTTGTGAAGGTTTTATTGCACTCACAGTAACAAGCGTAGATGTTATCTCATCGAGTTATCTTCACTTCCTGTCTCCACTACAGCATCTCTGCTCTGTGTTTGTGTGTCTGTGCGACAGACAGCAGGAGGAGCGGCTGCTGCAGCACGATCAAACACACCAACACATAAAAACAGTGAGCTAACAGTTACAGATAAAAGAGCCGGCTTTTAAAAATACGTACGTTAATAATTTAGTGCCACGGCTTGTTCACTACCAGCGAGATTAACGAGGTTAAAGCTTCACACATGCATGTAAACAGGAGTATATTAAAAGATTAATGTTGGATTTTATGAATCGATATCACATCATTAAAGGAGGATCAATTTGAGTCGGTGATTTGTTTATTTTAAGCTCTAGTCTTATTCGACTCAGCAGCTGCTCCTCAGTGGAACATAATGACAACAGGAAATGAGCGTCCAGCGAGCGTCCCCTAACATCAGAGCTCTCTGAACACACTGCATCCATCAAATATACACTTCTGTTACATCATTTAAACAAACCACATAACGATCAGCTGTGAGCTCCACATCAGACTGGACATGTAACCATCACAGTATAAAACTGATATACTGCCCAGCCTCGTATGGCGCCTAACTTTAGTGGATCCTATCAGGTATGAAATTAATCTGCAGATGCTCCAAGATGAGACCAAACTTGTCTCTGGATGTCAGTTTCTGAGACACAACGGAGGACAGAATGTGTCCTGTGACACACGTGAGGCTCGCTGTTTTTAGCCNAACATGTCAGAGCACCTGGAGGAAACCCACGCTGACACGGGGAGAACATGTCAGAGCACCTGGAGGAAACCCACGCTGACACAGGGAGAACATGCAAACTGCGCACAGAAGGGCCCCCCCCCACCCCGGGGTTCGAACCCTTTTACTGTGAAGCGACAGTGCTAACCACTACACCACTGTGACTGTTTTAAATAGCGTTATGCCAATATGAAATTTTTATTGTTTGTTGTGTTGTGTGAGGTACATTGTTTCGTTTTTTTTTGTCTGCATTTTTGTTTTGTTTTTGTTTGTTTCTGTTGTTGTGATGATGGAGTGATGCTGTTTGTTTGTATATCGGTTGTGTTGTATGTGATAATTATCTACTGACTCTGAGCTACACTTAAATAAAAACAGCGAAAGAATAAAAAAACAAGAAAACATAGAGAAAAATGGCGCCATCATGAGGGCGATGGTTGGGTAAAAAAAAAAAGGAGCTGAAAACGTCCATGAAAACACATTCTAATGTGCTCACACTGGGTGTGAAAAAAAACCCAATTCGCACAAGAAAGACGTGATTAGACGCTGGTGCTGTGATGGACGCTACAACAATGACTTCAAATACAAATACTTGAATTAAGTGACGCAAATAAACTGAGTGGCGTGATTTTGCGTCGTGCTCTTATTCATGAAAAATCTGAACTTCATCAATTGATTCACGTGATAGCCAATCAGCACTGAGATCTGCAGCAGAAGTTCATTCATTGGTTTAGTGACTTCAGGCATGTATGATGTGAGTTATTCGAAGGGAAGCGAGTCAACACAAAATATTCTAGCGTCCAATCTTGCGCGAGTAACGTGACGTGAAAATTTGCATCGTGTTTGGTGTGAATACGACATAACGACGACGGTCGCTCCTCAGTCTGACTTGACTAAATAACCCAAATAAATGTTCTTCACGATGAAGGTCGATCCTCTGAAATCATACAGCATGAAGAACAGAACAAACGTCCTCATGGTGGCGCTGCAGCAACAAAATAAAAACCCTCTCCTCTCAGGACTCACAGCGTTGTTAGGATCAGACAAATTATTATTACTTCTGCAGTAATTATTCAGTCCAGATCAGCGGGAGGTCAGTCGGGTCAGTTGGGTCAGAGGCAGCAGCTGTTTCCTGTTTCCTCATTAACAACCTCAGTGTGAAACTGCCTGAAGCTCCATCATCATCATCATCATCATCACCGGCGTCTCATCGTATTTTTAAAACTCTGTGATGAGACATCGACAGAAACAAATGAAGAAGAGGAGCCGACAGGATGAAGATCAGACACCAGAGTTTATTAGAGATAAAGTTTGTCGATCTTTCGACAGCAGCAGAATGTAAACATCACGTTAATACACGTTTCATCACCGCCCACATGTCACAGGATTAATATGAAGTCATTATTACATCACGTTACAGCCGAGCTGTTCAGACACAAACTGCTCATTCTCCCTCATAATTTAATTCACACATTATAAATATTTGAGAGGGACATTTGATATTCTGTGTTTTCATGTCGATGGCGGCAG